GTATGATATAGAAAACATCTAATGAAAATTATCAGGGGAGGAGACAGGAAGAAGCATGATGTTACCTGTTGCTTTTTCATAAATGTTCTTTATCATATTAAGCAGGTTCCCTTCTAAGTTTGCTCAGTGTTTTTTATCAAGAAAGGGTTTGAATTTTGTCAAATGTTTTTTCTGTATCAATTAAGATGATCATGTGGTTCTTTTCCCATGTTCTGTTAATGTGTATTACATGACTGCTTTTTTTACGTTGAACCACCCTTGCATTCCTGGGATAAATCCCACTTGGTCATGATGCATCCTTTTAATATACTGTTGGATTCAGTTTGCTAGTTATTTTGTTGTGGATTTTTGCATCCATATCATATGGGATAGTGGTCTGTAGTTTTCTTTTCTTGTCATGTCTTTGTCTGGCTTTGGTATCAGGGTAACGCTGGTCTCATAGAAAAAGTTAGCAAGTGTTCCTTCCTCTTCTATTTTTTGAAAGAATTTGAGAAGGACTGGTATAAATTCTTCTTTAAATGTGGGTAGAATTCACCAGTGGAACCATCTGGTCCTGGACTTCTCATTGTTGGGAGATTTTTTTATTACTGATTCAATCCCTTTCCTTGTTATAAGTGTGATCAAATTTTCCCTTTCTTGTTGAGTCAGTGTTTATAATTTGTGTGTTTCTAGGAATCTGTACATTTCATCAGTCTGTTTTGGTCATGTATGATTGTTCATAGTATTCTCTTCTAATTATTTTTTATTTTTGTAAGGTCAGTAATAATGTTCCCCACTTTCACTTCTGATTTTAATTATTTGTATCTTCTTTTTTTTTAATTTGTCTAGCTAAAGGTTTCTCAATTTTGTTGATCTCTACAAAACACAACCTTTAGTTTCATTGATTCTATTGTTTTTCTATTCTCTACTTCCTTCATCTCTGTTCTAATCTTTATTATTTGCTTCCTTCTGCTAGCTTTGGGTTTTGTTTGCTCTTCTTTTTCAAATTCCTTAAGGTGTAAAGTTAGGTTAACAATTTGAGATCTTTCTTTTTGTAACATAGGCATTTACAGCTATAAAATTCCCCTTAAGCACTTCCTTCACTGCATCCCACAAATTTTATTGTTTTCATTTTTAATTATCTCAACATATTTTTTTAATTTCCTTTGTGATTTCTTATTTGACCCACCGGTTGCTCAAAAGCTCTGCTCAAGTTTGAAGCCTTCTCTGACCCCACTGTAGCAAACAGCTAGCACTCCCCACCCTCACAAACACTCCACATCCTCCCCTTCCCTTCTTGAAATTCTTCTTCATAGTACTGATCTCTATCTGAAACGCCATGTATTTACTTGTTAATTTATTGTCTGTCTCCTACCACTAAAATATAAACTTCAAAATAGAAGCATTTTGTTTTGTACACTACATATCCTTGGCTCCCAGAATACTGCTTGACATACAATAAGCGCTAAATAAATAAATATTTGCTGAACAAACCCTAGAGGTTCTAATTATGGAATCCAATTTTCACCATAAGTATTGTGACATTTGATTCTGAGTAAGAAAGATGCATATGGGTTACTCTTGGCCCAGGGTATTATGTAGTGAATTGTATCCCCAAAATGATATGTTGAAGTCCTAATCCCTGTACCTGTGAATATCACCTTGTTTGGAAATAGCGCTTTTTCTTTTATCTGTTGGGTTAAATGAGGTCATAACAGATAGGGTGGGTCCTAATCATAATCCCTTCTGAGTGGTGTCTTACAAGGGGGAAGCAAACAGGGGTAAGTTAGGCACCACATGACTACAAAGGCAAACTCATCTGTAAGCAACAAAGGAACACCAAGGACTGCCAGCAGTCACCAGAAACTAATAGAGAAGCACGGAACAGTTTCTCTCTCAAAGCCCCTATGAGAAATCAACACAGCCAAGACCCTAATTTGGACTTCTAGCCTCCAGAACCGTGAGACAATAATTTTCTGTTCTGTAAAGCCACGCACTTTGTGGTATTTTGTCATGGCAGCCCTGGGAAACAAGGAGGACACAGGATATACTTGAGGAAAAGCAAAAGCTATTTTGACAAATCCCAAGTCACTGCCTTTCTATAAAATATAAAAATCCCACGTTAAAAGTCCTTGAAATGAAGATGAACAATAAATTTACATTTTCCATCCTCTATTTCATTGCCAAGGGGCCCTGGTGGCAAAATGGTCAAGTGCTCGGCTGCTAACTAAAAGGCTGGTGGTGTGAACCCACCCAGCATCTCTGTGAGAGAAAGACCTGACAATCTGCTTCCGTAAAGATTCCAGCCTTGGAAACCCTATGGGGCAGTTCTACTCTGTCACACAGGGTCACAGTGAGTCAGAATTGACTCAACAGTAACCAACAACAACATTTTGTTGTCATGCCTCTTTAGCCTTCTTTAACATAATGGATGTAATATGGCTTACTCTATTTGCACTACCTCCCAGTTGTTTAATTAATATAATTACTGTGACATTAATCGCTGCCCAATTATATGTGACTCACTCATTAGGAAGATGACTCAGGTTTTTCACTGCTAAAGTGAACTCTCTCAATTTAAAATTACCAGTACAATTCAGCCTAGTGTTATTTCCCATACATCTAGGTGCTACTGTAAACCCACTTGCCATTGAGTCAATTCTGACTCATAGTGACCCTAAAGGACAGGGTTTCCAAGGCTGTATCTTTATGGAAGCAGACTGCCACATCTTTCTCCAGCAGAGCAGCTGGTGGGTTCGAACTGCTACCCTTTCAGTTAGCAGCAAAGCACTTCACCACCACGGCACCAGGACGCCTTCAATGCTACTTTAAGTACATTAAATGTACAGAGAACTTTTTCTTAAATAGATAATTGATCACTCACACGTACAAACTTATTTTGTAACTTCAGTTGAGGTACCATCAGAAGTGCCTAAAGCTGACAGACACCCTGCAGTTGTTTCCTGTGGCTGTGTAACAAACTACCACAAACTTAGTGGCTTAAAATCACAGTCACTGATTCTCTGATTCTCTGTGAGTTCTGGAGGCCAGAAGTCTGAAATCAAGGTATTGGCAGGGCCACACTCACTCCAGAGGCTCTAGGAAAGAATCCATTCCTTGCCTCTTTCAAGGAACGGTAGTTGCTAGCATTCTTTCACTTGTGGCCACATCTCTCCAATCCCTGCCTCTGTGGTCATACTGCCTTTTCCTCTTCTGTGTGTTAAATTTCCCTCTGTCTCTCTCTGTCTCTCTCTTACAAGGATACTTGTGACTGCATTTAGGGCCTACCTGGATAATCCAGGAGTATCTCCTCACCTCAAAATCCTGAACTTAATCACAGCTATAAAGACCTTTTTTCCAAATAAGGTCACATTCACAGGTTTAAGGGATCTGACATGGGTATCTTTTGGAGGGGCCATTTTCCGCCAGCCACACCCTCCTTAATCAAGTGATCAAACTTTTCATCATGAGTAACAGGACAAGCTGACATCATGTACCTCCTGATGTGATACCCTGAGAAGAACATCACATCACCTATACAATACTCCTGCCAAAACTGCACAACCTGAATCAAATCACATGGAAACAATCAGGTAAACCCAAACTGAGAGACATTCTTCCAAAATGTCAAAGTCATGGAAGACAAAGGCAGGCTAAGAAACTACTCCAGATGAAAGGAGGCTAAGTAGGCATAGCAACAAAATGCAACATGGATCCTGCATTGGATCACGGAAAAAATATATTTTTTGCTATAAAGGGTCATGGAAAAAATATATTTTTTGCTATATTGGAACAACTGGCAAAATTTGAGTATGAACTGTATGAACTGTTTATTAGATAACATTAAATTTCTTAAATTTGATCATTGTGCTGTGGTTACATAATTAACGAGCGAGAGATAAAGCAAATGTGCAAAATACTAACAGCTGATGGATCTAGGTGTACAGCTGTTTCCTGAACTATTCTTGGTACTTTGCTGTTGGGCTAGACCTTTTGCAAAGTAAAAAGTAAAAACTTGCAAAACTTTTTTTTCCTCAAATGAAGCAAGCCTGTATTTACAGCGACTAATTGCCCCCTCCCCCAAGCCAAAAACTTAGACTTTGCCTAAAAATTTAAACTAAAAAGGAACCAACTACAGTGGAAAACATTCTGGCCCTCTGTCCATTCCCTCTAAAAGAGCAACCGAGCGGGATATTTTCCTGTTTGACCACAGTCACGATGAGTGAGCAAAACAAGAAATCCACGTTAACACACACACACTCACGTACAGGGATAAAAAGGATCGCTTCTTGCCAAAAAGGGAAAGAAAAAAAAAGTAAAAGAGGGAAGTTAAATGTTCATCCCCTTGGGTACCCCACAGAAGGAAAAACAAAGAGTGCCATTAAACCAGAATGCCTGGAAATGACAGCCTCATACTGTCTTTCTGAAACCAAACTGAGGCTTATGAAACAGATAGCATATAAGGAAAACCACATATTAACTGCAGAGACTCACTGGGGAATGTTACACATAACAGACTATTATTATTTTAATTTTTAAAACTTAAAGAACAGATTGGGCGCTATCTTAAAATAGCAGCAAACACATGAAAGCAAGAATTCTTCCCGTAAAAAGCATAGTCCATGAAAACTATAGTTTGGGGCTGGCAAATAATGATTACTGATAAGTTTTTCTCCTTTATATCCCTTACTGGCAAATTTAATTACGCCCAAATAAGGATTATACAGTGAGGATAAAACCTCCCATAAGAATCTAAACAAAAGACAACAAAACTGAAACTGCAAGGAAAGGAAAATATTGAAAAATTACATGTTTTCAAAGGAAAAAGAATACTCTCATCAAACATTACTAAAAACTTACCTTCTTGGACAGGAAAAACTTCAGCTATTGAGCCTAAAATAGTTAAGGCTGAAAATCTAGTTGGATAGGAAGACCCAGGAAATAATGCTTCAAAAAGACTGTTGCAAATTGATGACATGAAATTCTAAAAAAAAAAAATTACAGTAAATATAATAAACTCACAATAGGTTATCTTCAAAGTATCACCTTTAAGAGTGGGTTTTGTTTTTGTTTTTTAATAAGACAGCAAAGTTTTTTGTTTTTGTTTTTTTTAACAACACTGGTTGTTTGCATTGCTTGATAATCCAGCTTGACACCCTTGACTGTGCGCTATACCATGACTTTCCTGAACTCTATCTTTGTACGGTCAACAAGGAGTACAATTCCTATTACAGTCCACACAAGAAGAGACACATTTTCGGTAAAAGCAAGATCTGTCAGCCCTAACTTATGTCACGGCTCTATGAATACCGATTTTCCTCACCAGAGTTGAAGCTAATCTCCATCCAGGCAGCAAAGGTATGTACACTTTTTAAAGTTTTAAGATGATTGAAGAAGTATCCAATATATACTGCCTGATAAATTTAGCTTTAATAACATAATTCCTACCAAGATCCAACTATTCCACTGCCTACTACCTGCCCCTTTAGAACTCCTACTCTAGCATGCTGCTTATACAAATGATTACAAAATGAAAACTTTTAATGAAATGTAATTTAGAGGGGGGAGAAAAGCATATACCACAGGCAGCCCTAATCCCAACCGCCTCTAGATGGGTTCCTTGCATCCAGATCTCTGGGCAAGGACATGCAAACTACGTGATTTATCCTTCAGTCCCTCACAAGTTCTAAGAGTTTATGAGTTTATTAATCTATTGGGTTTCAAACAAATGGTGTAATTATTGAAAAGTGTTCTAGTTAAACTAGCTTTAATTATAAATGAATAAAACAGCATTTATATTAAATCAAAGAGCAACAAGTTCATCCTTTAAGAATTATCTTATGCTAACTGTATTGTTATTTATATTTTTAAATTATACAGGCAGTCCTTGGATCATGAACAAGTTTCATTCCTAAGTCTAATTTGTACATATGTCAGAACAGTTAGGTACGGTTCATATCCAACGTCAGTCAAATGTTTGTCTTAGTATATAGTATACAGTGTACCTTCCTATGCATAAAAAACATTAAATACTTCCAGATACACGAAAATTTCTTTAACATACTAATAGTAATAATAATGTTTTGATGCATGTTGCAAAGTAGCGCTCGTTTGTTATTCTGAATCATTGTATGTACCTGGAATTTTAAATATAACAGGCTTTATGGGGGTTGGTTCATAACTATGGTTTGTAGCTAAGTCGAACATTCGTAATCAAGGGACTGCCTGTAGTTATGTGACCACACTGCAGGCAGGGACCACAGTTTATACACTTGGATCCCTCATCCTAAGCACCATGTCCTACCCACACAACACATTCAATATATGCTCTGGTCACTTTTAATAGCTTCCTTGAGGCTTCCAAACAACATGGCCTAGCCTTCAGAACTCTCCTACCCATTCCCAACTTGATTTTCTGTCCTGATCTCCCATGACTCATCACCTCCATTCCCCCAAGTATCTTACATGTCATTCACACCAGTGAACTCACCATTCCAAATTTTCCTTGCACTTTCTTACCTCTAAGGCTTCGTTTAAACTCATAGTAGAGGAAAAAATTACTTGGATTTTGGAGTGAAGAGCAGAAGTGGATTTGACTCCAACCTCTATTCTCACTTAGTAGCTAGTGACCTTGGGCAGGTTACTCAACTTTTCTAAGCTTCAGTTTTCCAATTGTTAAGCAAAGATAATAATGCCTACCTCACAGCTTTGTTACTAAATATTAAATGACAACATGGATATAAAGCATTTTGTAAATTTAAAAGTACTCTAATTATTAATATTAGTCATTTAGGTATGAAATAAGGAGCCCGGGTGGCTCAGTGGTTAAAGCACTCAGCTGCTAACCAAAAAGTCAGTGGTTTGAACCCACCAGCCACTGTGAGAGAAAGATGTGGCAGTCTGCTGGCAGTCTGCTTGCGTAAAGATTCACAGCCTTGGAAACACTATGGGGCAGTTCTAGTCTCTCCTATAGGGTCACTATGAGTCAGAATCCACTTGATGGCAATGGGGTAAGTATGAAATAAACTCCTTCACTAGACTAGATAAACATCATTTCCAACTAATCACCTTCTCTTCTCCCCCAGCACTTGGTCCGTTGATAGGCACTGAGCCTACCACACAGTATGCATGGCACCACTGTTACAATGATGACAACGATGATACAATGCCAAGGCTGCAACCACCAAAAACCACAGGAGACTACAAGTTGGGAGAAAATATCAAAAACCATTGATATCATAAAACTGACTCAGACCAAGACTCAAAGACTAACTTTCAAAAAGTAGATACTCACAAGCAAAACTGAGAAATCAGGGTAACACCTGTGCAAAAGCAAAGGTGAGAAGGCAGGAAGGGACAAACAAACTGGACGAATGTATGTGGGGAACCCAGGGTAGAAAGGGAAAGGGGGAAGAGTGATGACACATTGCGAGGATTGCTACCAATGTTTACAAAACAATTCACGTATAAATTTTTGAAAGAGAAACTAATTTGTGCTGTGAACTTTCACCTAAAGCACAATAAAATTAAAAAAAAAAAAAAAACCTGAGAAATCATATATACAGTCACGTGCCACATGACATCTGTTCAGGCTACCTCCGACTGTATATACACTCATTGTCCAATAAGCTTATACAGGCAGTCCAATTTATGTATCAAGCTGTAGTTATGAAATAACCCCCATAAAGCCTATTATATTAAAAATTTGAGGTATATACAATGGTTCATGATAATATCAAAACATTATCATTATCATTACTATATTATGTTAAAGATGTTTTAGTGTATCTGGAAATGTTTCTTTAATGTTTTTTATGCACAGAAAGCCACACTATATACTATAAACTAAGACAAATATTTGACTAAATGACATTAAATACAAACCACACCTAAATGTTCCAACTTACGTACAAATTCAACTTAAAGACAGATTTAGGAATGAAACTTGTTTGTAATTTGAGGACTGCCTGTATATATAATATGGTGCTCATGCAACATCCAAATCACATAATGTCCTATTTCACAGAATGTATCATGGACGCTAAGCAATGCATGACTCTCCTTGAAAATTCAGAACCTGCAACCACAATATAGGTTTTGTGTTTCTAAGTACCTAACTCAGATTTCATAACTTTCACCTTACCCCTTGCAAAAAGAAGCAGATGTGTTTTCTTAAATCTAGCAATGATCAAAAAGAAGCTAAAAAATAACTGCCATTTTTAGAGTGACTTACAGTTTATAAAGAGCTATCTCCCTTAATCCTCAAAAGCAACCTTCTGAGGGAGGTTACTAATCCCACTGTACAGTTAAGGAATCCCATGAAGTCAGTCAATTAATAAGTGGCAGAACTGGGACCTCAACCTATGTCATTAAGTTCAGGTTGTGACTTTCTAATCTTCACCGTGGGATTTTTTCAAAGGTGAAGCTGACTTCAGCCTCTGTACAGGAAGATTCTTCTTTAGATGATTTTTTGCCTTTTAAGTACAAAATTGAAAACCAAGCCATCCATACTAATGTTTAGAGTAGGCAATGGATATGTCATGGCTCGAAATGTATCATTAATTTTTTATACCTGTTTCCTTAAATGAGATAAAGTATATAAGCACCATTCTCTCTGGACCTTGGGAGAAAATAAGGGTCTGCTTGTAAAAGGCTAAATTTGGGGTGGGGTTCTTACTCAGTGAAAAACTCGTTCTGTTCTGATGGGTAGAAATGAAGGGGAATGACTGTCAGGATAAGCTCTGGTACAGACTGGAGCTGCTGTACCTGGGGTTCCATCTAAACCATTAACACAGTGCTCCGAAACCCAGCGCTACTCTTCAAGCTCATCCCAAAACAGGAGAGACAGGAACCTCCAAAACTGGTCCACAGGCCAAGAGTCACTGACATTAAGCAACTGTAAGTCAATGAGTCAAAGGAGAAGCAGGCCCAGACCCAGCGGTCTTCTACCATGGGGTAACGTAGGGGAGTTTAGGGTCAGGCGATCACCTTTTTTATTTTAAAAGTACTAAATTCATCCAGCCCCTAAACTGTAAATTATTGAGATTAGCCCATTAAAGGCATGCTGTGACAGACCAGAAATCCCGCTCTGGTTCCACAACCCCAGGCCACCACAAGAGAGGTACCAAAGCACCAGAAGGAACATGGAAAACCCAGACTGAAGGAAAAAAGAACATCATTGACGAAGAGACTTCCATTTCGTTTTCTTTAATGTTTGTTTATAATTGTTTTAGGTTTCTTAAAAATCTGTATGTCTAGAAATATACCACCTACCTTGTATTGCTGTAAAGAAACAGAAGGATGCTGTTTGGGTAACTCATTCTCTGGTTCATGTTTGGACATACTTTGTTCCAATTTATAAAGAACCTGAGAACTTTCCTGTATCCTACAAAACAACTTTTGAGAAAAAGAAAAATGAAGCATATGTGAGCCACATTAAACTTAAAACAGTAGCCTAAAAGGCAAAGGAAGTTTAAAACTTCAAGCAAGGAGAGTACTTGTTTTTAAACCCTTAAAATTTTGCAGTGTTTCGTTTTGAGAGAATATTAACATTGTATATTTAAAACCAAAAACCACATATTACTGCAAACCAGAATATACAGTCATTATACCACATAGTTTTCCTATTTCCTTTAAATTGGCATGAACCTAAAGATGATACACTCATCTCTATACCAATTCTTCACCCATAAATGTGTGATAATTCAGCTTGGATTATTCAATAATGACTGTTTCGTGAGGCACTTAAAGAAAGTAGAAAAATGCAAAAGGGCTTCCTTCCTCGTTACCAAAATTTTCTTAAACCACCTTACACCCCGAGAACTCTAGCACTAGATTTTTTCCTTTCAAAAAAAGAGCATGAGGTTCATTTAGTTCACCACGATGGAAGGACTCTTCACACTGGATTTTAATCCCAAATCTAATCACTATGGAATTACAGAACAACAGGTCACAGAAGGGCCATATGAAGAGATGTGGTGGTCCAATCCCATGGCCATTTCCGCTATCCCAAAAACTAGGCTCTTAAAGAAATTATTTTCAGAGCAGAATTCACCACTTTCCTAAGGATTCAATAATCATTCCTATACTTTCTGATGGGAAATTCTACCTTTTTAAGAAGAGAACAAATCTGTTGTCGCACTCCTGGAGACTGGTTGTTAAGATTGTACGTTATAAAGAACTGAATCAGCTGCATTTCTTCTGTGGAAACAATTTCTGTGCTTCGATTACTTTCACAAAGCAAGCCTAATGTATCTATCCGTACCTAAAATACACCAAGCAATAAAATGTTAATTTTCCACTGAAATAAGTGAAGTCTAAACCACCTGAAATACTCAATTATTTACACAGGCTGCCAAGGGTTGGGGGAGGATTAAACCTCAATTCACCAGTATGTGCATCAGAAAGGTTCTCTAACCCCAAAGATCCTGTGGTTATTTCCTATAAAATTATTTTATTAAATGTCTAAATTGGATATTGATAAAAGGCAACAATCTTAAAGATTCTTATTCCACGGTCATGCTCAGCTTCATTTCTTTTTCTCTTTTTGTCTCAGCAACCACTTTACCCCAGGACCTCATCCCCTCACTCTTGCATTACCACCATGCACTTCTAACTGCTCTCCTGGCTTCTCGGTACTCCCACTCTGATCCTTGCTAAAGACACAGTGGCTCTGGTTCCCAGTTACCAATGGAATGAAATCTGACATCTTCAGCCCAGCACTGCAGCCTTCCAGAAACTGGGCACTCCTCCACTCCTGTTAACACAACGTCCTTAATCATCCTCCAGGCCTTGTTAATTTGCGTCCTTCCACTAGGCGGGCTGTTTCAACGTTTCCTCTCCTCTACGTAATCACATCTATCTAACTTTCCTAGTCAATCTCAACCTACTCTCATCAAGCTCTTCTTCCGAGCCTCCCAAGTCCCTCTACATATATGCCCGGGCACACCTGCCCAAGGTGGTGTCATGCAGGTTTTCTTATCCCCTCAACTAAACTGTAAGTAGCCTGAGTGTGGGGTCTATACCTTTCACTTCCTAATCATCCTCTTCAAAGTGTCCCCCGCCAAAGAAACAAACAAACAAACCCATTGTCATTGAGTCGATTCCAGCCAATAGCAACCCTATAGGACAGAGTAGAACTGCCCCATAGGATTTCCAAGGAGCAGCTGCTGGATTTGAACTGCCGACCTTTTGATTAGCAGCCAAGATCTTAACGACTGCACCACCAGGGCTCCTCTTCAAAGACCCCCTAAAACAGTGCTAAGCACAATGCAGTGGCTTCTATATTACACTGCTAAATGAATGAATGAATCAAGGTACTACTGAATATACAAATTCCCAGTTATTGTGTTTACTTACCTGGCAGTGCTGATGAACTAAGCCCTGCTTTATTCTTGCACTGGACACAAGGCTTCCCCAGGTATCAGTTGCAGACTGGAGATGCCCGTGAGCTCTAGCTGTTCGCAGACATGCCATCAAAGCTCCCAGAGCTCCTCTGCTATTACAAGACCCTAAAGATGGAAAAGATCTGTCTTGTCCAAAAAGTGCAATAACAAAGACCATCACTGTGCTACGCAATGGCTGCGACCACTTTCAGGAGCCACATCTTCACGTTTCTACTTAACATTATATTTCAAGAAAAAAACTCACATTTTAAACTAAATTTTAACATGAATTCAAGTACCTATTATAAAATAAACATTATTTTAAATGATCTAACAGTTCCTATGTCAATCATTTCAAACAAGCATAATCTTTTTATTGTTAAAGACATCATAATTTATTTGTTAACATCTTTACTTTGTCCTCCATACTTAGAAAATAAATCAAGAAAAACATCAGTGGAGAAATATTAAAATCAATAAAAAGACTAAAATGGCTTTCAGCCAGAAATAGAAGAAACACTTCTGTGGCAAAAGACCAGTACTTCTCTGAAAACCAGCATTGAACCTCCCCGCATACTTTGGAGTTACTGTTTCTTACTAGTAAAGAAGACGAAAGGAGGATTCGGTGATTTCCACTGTCCTGAGGAATAAGTTGGAATTGACTCGACGGCGATGGGTTTTGAGGAATAATCATCTTTACCTGATGAACCTGACGCTTTGAAAGGCCAGGACATCAGCCACCACTACGGGGATACGAGATCTGCTCACAGAGCACCTTCATATAAAAACAAGGTGGCCTTACTTCAGAATAGGAGCCCTGGTGGCGCAGTGGTTAAAGCATTCAGCTGCTAACCAAAAGGTCAGCGGTCTGAACCCACCAACTGCTCTGCGGAAGAAAGAAGTGGCAGTCTGCTTCCATAAAGATTACAGCCTTGGAAACCTTATGGGGCAGTT